GGCAATATTTCAGCAATATCGTGACTAAAACTAGTTCCAAATTCATAATACATACATATAATATAAAACCCTGTCAACGAAAAATAGCTTAATGACAATGCCATGATGGTCATACTTCAAAACAACACAAGTTACACTACTGCATGGCTTGGATATATTCTTTTTGTGCATCTCACTTATATGAACAAAACACTAAATCCAAGTAAAAACACTCCCTTAAAAATATTTGTAAATATAGGATTCCAGTGACCACAAACAATGAATAGAATTCATGAAGAGATACAGTTCGATTCACTAAATATGTGAGTGAATTTAAACTGATTATTCATTCCTGCTCCATGATACTATGTGTTTTGGTTCTTTTCCTATTTGGACTCCCAGGTTCTATCAGCCCAGTTTTTCACACAAACAAATATTATACAGATAAACAATTTGTTTTTGACCTAAAGTTGTTTGGGTGTGTTTAGTGGGAAAAACAATGCTAATTTTCGTCAATTGTCATATTTATTTTGACTTTCATTTGAAGATCACTCTTTTCTGTTTACAATGTCTTTGGAGTGGCCAGTGGCTATTAGTGGTGGTCCGATTAATTGAAATAATCGAAGATTGGTCGCAATGACTAAAAGACCAAGCAATCTTTCATGTTTTCTCATAATCGAACACAAACAATTCTGGAACACTTTTTGCATTAACAATATTTTTCACAAGGTTGGTTTTGTAAGTTACATTTCATAACCCCTACAAGCTTGTTCCAAGTCATGATTAAATTTATCTTAAAGACTCCTGGAATTTTATGTTCCTAACATACTAGTTAAGTAGTAATCCTTTCAAGATGTGAAATTTGCCACACAAAAAAACCCAAAGAACTACATGTTTTTTCATTATGTTTGTTTTTTTCATTAACAAAAAACAACAACAAAAAAACAGGAAAATTTCATAAATGATGCTAACCAATTATTTTCGATGATTGATCGGTTGTAATGAAGCAATCATCAATTATGAGGTTTTAACCAATTCCCAACACTAGTGGCTACATGGAAGGGACATGATCAATTAGAACTAAATAAGTTGAGTGTTAATTATTGTTTTATTTTGTAAGTTTCCATTTTACATATGTTCTTACCCATGAATGACAAAACGCTTGGATGAATTTAAAAGGCAAAGCTTGGGCTCAGGTTTGTCACATTGATCTCTCCAAAAATGTCAAAGGTGTTTGCAAAAAAGAGCAACCAGATTGCAAGACCAAACCATATTTTACAGAGTATGGTCAGCTCTGGCTCCATTAGTACATGGCAAAGGCACTACTGGCTATAAAGTTGGAATGTGAAACAAACATCCATATCCAACACATTCTAAAATACACATAACAGCTTCAACCAAGTGAATATACTTTTTCAAAACAATCCTGAGCAAAATCCTCAACAAATTCTCACACTGATAGATGTTCAACGGAATATGAAAGAATAAATATTTGGGCCCAGCCTACCCTCCTCTGTTTTTTTTACTTCCAAAGGAAACAATCACTACATATTCATACCAGTTATTGTGAAGGTGACATTGTACAAATGCTCTATCAGGAATTATGGACAGAAACTTAGATATTCATCAACATAACAGTTCTTGATAAGCTTTGTCACAATAATTCTTTAAGAGGATTCAATCATCACAATAACTAAACCTGTTCTATTTCCGTAAAATAAGGAGTTCAAAGAAATAGACAATGAAACCTGTTCTTGAAGACCTTAATCCAATCAAAAATGAAACCCCAGATTTTGTATCTATTGAGTAAGTGAAACATGTTTTATAACTTTTTTATGACAACTTCCCATCAATAAGCACATTTCAAGGCACAGCTGTCATTCGAGTGTCTGCTATTCAAACACATTAAGTACAATTAAATTCTTCTTTTAAAATGCAAAGCTGTCAAAAGGTTGGGATAACATAGTCATACTTCCAAAGCTCCATTTAAATATTTTTTGTGTGAGTTATAAGAAAATCTTTTCTTAAAAAGTTCTCTGATTGTGTACTGTAAATACACGGAAGCTGTTGGCACCTGAGAAAAACATTGTGACATAACCTAACAGTTTCTCACTGGATATACACATGCCATGAATAGAGAGGCACCTCTGATAAACCATCCAAGTCCATGGGAGATAACTCTGTAACAATTTCCATGCCAAGTCGACTTTGTAACAGGCGCAGTTACCACAACCTATCACCCACAGCAAGATTCCTGCATGTGATAACGAGTTTCCATTTATATTTGTTTAAAAAACAGTCAAATAAATCATATAGGTAACACAATCGTTTGCTTTGATACATTCCAACATGAAATTGTCTCTGTTTTTTGGAAAAACTGCTGAAAATTGTTATTTTTGAGTTTGAGATGTTGTACAGGAAGGTGTTGCCGGATTTTATGTGTGCTTCATAATAAGTCAATTGAATAGGAAATTAAAGTTGCAGGATCCTGTATTTAGGTTTCTTAATTTACTTTCATATGTACAAATCACAAAGGTGACGCAACAAAAATATTGCCAGGGGCCTGTACATTGATAATGGGTGCAATATTAGTCGAGGTTGACATGTGTCTGTATGGAGATATACAAAGTGAGTGAGTTAAATTCAAAGTTACATCGGCAGTACTTCCGCCATATAGTGAATATGATGAGCTGTGATCAGATCCTTTTTTGACTACAGCGATAGTCACTCGATCACGCTGACATGACAAAAGTATGAAATCTTCAATGTTTTAGAAAGAAAACTATCCCAAATTAATACCTGTTTTAAAGATTAATCACGCCAAGTTTAGCGATACTTTGTACAGCAGATACGTCTATTATCTACAACACAGATGAAAGCTCTGAACCAACCTGCATTGCAGTTACATCATGACAATATACTTCTACCTATACAGTATACACAACAGTGTGGCTTGAGCTGCATATGCGAAGTACTGACACAAGTCTAGTCTGCTCAACTTGCAGTTAGAGGAGTTTTCACAGTACTTTTAAGGTGAAAAGTGATGTGAATAAGAGTTATTGTACTTAAATAGCATGGGTGTGTGCAAGAATATGTCTTCCAACATGAACTGGCCAGGGCTTGAATTTACAACCTTGTGCTCTTTCAAGCAGCTCTATTTATATGTCAGAGTGGCAGAAGAAAATATATGTGGAAAGAATTATATCCTTATTAAGTACTGTCACATATCCTGTATTAATAAGTAACAAAAGTCACTACCAATGATGCCAAACACAGCCACAAATTCTGGGCGCCTATATTGTGGACAAGTATTGAAATGAATGGATACCTAGTCAAAGGGACATAACTCTTCCACGACTCACAAGGGGAGGTTACTTCAGGTTAACAAGGATTCATCCCAGCATGCTGTTATATGTTATAAACATAGACACTCATAATCGTTGAATATCTGACCATGAAGACTTCAGTGATGAAAAGAAACATACAAGCATGTATTAGAAAATATAGTCTGTCTCCCAGACCATAGCGAATATATAGAAAAGAATTAATCCAAGTCTAGAATGGTTTTGCCAATTCTAGAATGACTCAGCTCTTGAAATTAAGCATTGCTCTGGGCTCCATTTTCATTTTATATTTTGTGAATACATATATTTAAAAAGATAAATAATCACCACATGAAGTATGCCCATTACAATCGACTGACACCACATATGTGACGATTTTGAGAAAAACATTAGCATCCCCAAATATTAAGAAATTCTACAAACATAAATACACTGTTTTGCTACAGTTACAATCATCTAATCCAAAATAATTGCTGTTAGTCAAATTAATAAATGCAAATGCTACTTTTGTTTATGAGCTTCATATTTTCAAAAAATAAATCTAATGTAGCAATAATATTTCGCAAAAAATGTTTTGAGAGGTATGTATTTGGACTCAATAACAGTAGAAATAATCATTGAGAAAATGATACCAACAAGGACAGAATGACGATGTGTAGTCACTTTTGATTAAATGCATATATTCATTTTATTGGTTCTCAGTGTTGATTAGTCATAATATATCGCCATGTTTCACTGTTGAGTAAAATATGACATGATGTCACCAATTATTAAAGATAATACAACGTCTTCAGGACATTAGCCTGCCTTGCCAAACAAAGGCTTGAAATTAGCAATATTCATTCACCCGGGACTGATCATCTGTAGTTCCCGAAGCTTGTTATTCTCTACACCCTCGACGAGCTCAGGGCAGAAATCTGATGCATGCGAAATATATGTGGTCTCATTTGGGGTATTTGGGGTTATCTCTATTCAACACAAACCAAATCAGGTTCTTGTACTTGTAAAGAAACTTACCTGCTTCCTTATAACAGCTGATTACTAACTGTGTACAGAGACACAGTTTACCGCATTTGTGCAAATACACTGTCACTATTGTCAGCGTAATTGTGAGCATACACTTGTTTTTAATATTTACTGCTATCAGCAAACAAAACAATTTTCTCATTGAACAAAACAAAGGATTACTAACCATATATGAAGACATAGTGTACTGTATTTGTGCAACTGCATTGTGAGCACAATTTCTTAATATTTACTGGTATCGAGAAACAAAACAATTTTCTCACTGATTCTTTCACAGCATTACCCGAACAAACAAAAGTGGTGTATTATCATTACTGTCAAACAGATACTTAACACAACAAACTACATTTGAGGACTTTCCCTGCCATAAGCCATACTTTGAAATCTCTCAGGTGTGCATATAAACGTTCAAGTCATATTCATGCCAAGGAAAGTTCCATTAAGTAGCATCTATGTATGCAAATAAGCTCTTCAACAATAATATAGTGTCATTTTGAAAAGGAAATATGATGTGTGGAGCAATTCCTGTAATCAGCAGGGAGGTGGCCAGCCAACATGTGTTAGGAGCAAGCTTGTCCTCAATTCTACACAAGGGGTCTACCCTGGAGTTCATGGTGAGCAAGTGAAAGACACAGCAGCTGAAATACTCACAGTATATTCAGCTGCATCTGCCTACGGATGAGGGCATTCTTCTTGTTGACAAGGAGAAACCAGTCCTGCATCAGCCTCTCTTCCAGGGACTTATTCTTCCCTGGAATACAACACAAAACAAATCTACTCAGTATCATAAATAATGTACCCACTATCATAAATAATGTACCTACTATCATAAATACAGTTCCTATTTCTATCAATATTTTCATCAATAATGTGCCCACTATCATAAATAATGTACCCACTATCATAAACAATGTACCCACTATCATAAATAATGTACCCACTATCATAAATACAGTTCCTATTTTCATAAATAATGTACCCACTATCATAAATAATGTTCCCACTATCATAAATGATGTATGCACTATTATAAATAATGAACGCACTATCATAAATAATGTTCCCACTATCATAAATAATGTTCTTATTCTCATAAATAATGTACCCACTATCATAAATAATGTTCTTATTCTCATAAATAATGTACCCACTATCATAAATAATGCATCCATCCACTATCATAAATGATGTACCCACTATCATAAATGATGTTCCTATTATCATAAATTACTATCATAAATAATGCATCCACTATTATAAATAATGAACGCACTATTATAAATAATGTGCCCACTATCATAAATACAGTTCCTATTTTCATAAATAATGTACCCACTATCATAAATAATGCATCCACTATCATAAATGATGTTCCCACTATCATAAATAATGTACCCACTATCATAAATGATGTACCCACTATCATAAATAATGTACCCACTATCATAAATGATGTACCCACTATCATAAATAATGTTACCACTGTCATAAATAATGTTCCCACTATCATACATAATTAATGTACCCACTATCATAAATGATGTACCCACTATCATAAATAATGTTTCCACTATCCTAATAGAGAATACTACACTTGGTCTCATAACATACGAATTATACGAAACTCGTGACCTTCCTATGGTATCTGACCGAGCGAATTCGTATAATTCGTATGTTATGAGACCGAGTGTGGTATTTTATTTATTACCCACATCTTACAAGCTTTAAATTGACAAAATAGCGTATTTTTGTTATTTTTATGGTTTCAAACCGAAACCGGTTTCATAAAGAGGTTGCGGAAGAATGTTGTTCTGGAGTACACTTTTTGCATGACGTCACACTGAAATGACGTCACTACACCTTGCCCGTCTGGCCCCCTTGGTAACCGACGTCACGATGCATGTCAGCTGTCATCGCCTTGTACAGCCTCCTACATTAAACTACTCCGTAGCACCCCGTTTCTTAGTTTGCAGTTGCTTCACTCGGCTAACATCACTGGTGGAAACTTCGCGTTTATGTTTTTCGACGCATATAATGTCTCAGTTTGACGCCCAATTAAACAACGATAAGGCAACGTTCGCAATGTTTACATTCCCACAATGCATTTAAGTTGTAGAATGAATGAATTCACGTGTTTGTTATGAATGAAAAAGTAGTTCTGTCACAACGTGATCTAATTGAGAGGTCATCGGTTATCCAATCAAATTGTTAGAATCTCAGTTCAAGTCGTTACGACACAGGTCAACGCGATACGACACTCGTGTGACGTACGAGATTAGTATGCAACTACCCATACGTTGACCACGTGGGTAATAAAATGATGTACACACTATCATAAATAATGTGCCCACTATCATACATAATGTACCCACTATCATAAATGATGGACCCACTATCATACATAATGTACCCACTATCATAAATGATGTACCCACTATCATAAATAATGTACCCACTATTATAAATGCTGTACCCACTATCATAAATAATGTTACCACTATCATACATAATGTACCCACTATCATAAATGATGGACCCACTATCATACATAATGTACCCAATATAATAAATGATGTTCCCACTATCATAAATAATGTACCCACTATCATAAATGATGTACCCACTATCATAAATAATGTTACCACTATCATACATAATGTACCCACTATCATAAATGATGGACCCACTATCATACATAATGTACCCAATATAATAAATGATGTTCCCACTATCATACATAATGTACCCACTATCATAAATGATGTACCCACTATCATAAATAATGTACCCACTATTATAAATGCTGTACCCACTATCATAAATAATGTTACCACTATCATACATAATGTACCCACTATCATAAATGATGTACCCACTATCATAAATGATGTACCCACTATCATAAATAATGTTTCCACTATCATAAATAATGTACCCACCATCACAAATAATGTTTCCACTATCATACATAATGTACCCACTATCATAAATGATGTACCCACTATCATATATAATGTATCCACTATCATATATAATGAACCCACTATCATACAATACATTTAGTCTCAACATACACACTACACACAGGCATCTGGTAGAATATGCAGGAACATGCAACTAATGAATTGTGCTACTTCTTATCTTGCTGTCCACACTCAGTCAGCCTACAAATCAGTCACATCTTTACACTCAGTGCCTGCTCTTGGCGGGACTGACTTCAGGGTGGACTTGCTCACCTTTCTCCATGACTTTTGGAGCGACTTCTCGAGCTGGGCAGCCTGCTTGTCTATCTGGCGCTGTTCCCCCTCTAGTGCCTCCATCTCCGCTTTCACATACTGGTTGGCGCTGCGCAGGTCCTGCAACATTCCCAACACCACGGTGGCATCAACACCAGCTGACCATACATGCATGTACAGCCAATACAATTTACTTCGTATGTCACAAACATGTGGTTGATACTATGAGCAACAGACCATATCGTCAGGACATGACGACCTCTAGTCAACCAAACCACTGACCAATAATCATTATGGCTTATTTATCTCTTATTTATTAGAATCAACAATATATCTTGTCAGATATCAACAGAGGTAATGTCGACATTGTTGATTTAGTTATGTGTTTTGTGTATGCGAACACGAGGATCTATGAGCAACCATGTCACTGAGCAAGATTCACAATGACTAAAGGTTGCCAGTTTTATTAATTATCTAAGGACATGAACAGCTAAGTGATCAGTTAAGTGAGCCTAGTTTAATATCTGAATTTCTTATCGGGGGCGGTGGGGTAGTCTAGTGGTTAAAGTGTTCGCTCGTCATGCCGAAGGCCTGGGTTCGATTCCCCACATGGGTACAATGTGTGAAGCCCATTTCTGGTGTCCCCCGCCATGATATTGCTGGAATATTGCTAAAAGCAGCGTAAAACAAAACTCACTCACTCACTGAATTCTTATCATATATAAACAGAAGTTAAGGCAACATTGTTTAGTGGCTATATATTATGATATTAACAGTATCCCACGTCTTGTGCAGTGACATACTGTTTTCTTGCCCACATGTTTGTACAGCTCTGACAAAGACCTGCCTTAAACAAACACACTGGATATTGGGCGTGCATCACATCAAGGGAGATAACCATGGAATACCAAGAGTCAAAGAAACAAGAATCTTGCCAATCTAAGAGCCAGAAAGTATTCAAGTATCATGGTAATTTGGATTTATTCACAAATATAATGTGAGGGAAACAAACTTATGAATGTTCACCATTTGTGACAACACAACATTAATGTCATGTGAGATTACCGGATTTACTAAACTACAATATATATAGCATTGTGGTCATTTATGTTGTTGAAACCGAAAATAATGGGCAAGACGTCCCTTCAAACCTTTAGTGTGTCCCTTGATTAAAATATGATCACAGACAAAAGTCTTAATTCAAAGATGTGGTAGAAACCATGTACCGTATGCAAGGGCTGGCTACCAAAACAGATTGTTGTCATCAATAATATATTCATTGATTATCAATATATATCGGAGAGGTAAATCCAAAAATGAAATAAAAATAGAATCAAAAAGTATCAACATATTTCACATCAATGGTGAGTGGTGACATATTTAGGCATGGACTAATAACAAAAACAACATTCTAAACATAGTTTGGAAGTGGACATGAATATAGGTGGAACTTTGGGTATTGTGTGAGTAAATTCAAACTTGATTTCATCACAATATTATCAATGGTACAATTTCCACATTGGATAATGTTGATATTTCTTTGACATTTCCGATTATTGACTTTTTTAGCCAGCTCTGCTGTATGTGAGTGGAGACTCACCTCGTCTGGAGTAAGATGCAGGTTGAGTTCAGATCCTTCCGAGTCGCCCTCCTCTCCATCACTACCAAGGTTAGCATCATACCCGACTCCTGCCACCAAACACACTGGTCAGTACACACACAGGAGGTTCATAGAGAGAGAGAGAGGGACAAAGATTTAAACCACCACCTATTACAACCTGTGGCTCCTACAAATGTAACATATCAGCCTATTGGTGATTTTTCTTACAATATATGTTCCTAACCATCATAATAATCTGCATATAGGGTACACAGTCATATTGTTGAATTTCAAAATTTCAGAACTTGATTTTTAAAATACAGTGGAAACCTGATAAGTAAAATTTCAAGGGACTCGCCAAAATTGTTTACTTGTCAGGTATTTTACATATCCAAACTTATAAAAACCTGCAAATGACAACCATATGCATGTACATGTATGCATATGTAACAATAAACAACTTATCAGGGCTGGCCTCCAGTTGTCAGTGTATTGTTAACTGCTTGACGCCAGCGAGCTGTAAGTAGGATGTTTGTTTGACTGGAGACTGACACGACTGCCCCTCATGTCGGATTATGTGGTGATCGCTAATTTAGTTATCCAGTCTCTTTTGTTAAGTAATTTACTTCCAGGGACCGTGAGAAGACGTTTAGTTAAGCGGTATTGTTTACGTATCCAAGTTTAGTTAACCGGACTCTAATAGTGATACTAATAGTGTATCGTCATTCGTATGTCTTCATTGTAATAGATCAGATACAACACATGTTTCAAATATATAAGTCTAGACAAATCCCAACACTTCTGATCTTCTAAATGAGTAACTCAGAACCTTTAATCTAACAAACAGATGTTACTCTTATCACTTGAAAAGCATGACAGTAATGACTGCACACATCATCATGGATGTCCTCCTCTAGTCAGCCAGTGAATATACCACAGTGACAAAGCAGCCTCAGTACAGACCCCGAACCAGTTGAAGAGAACCATCTGTCCCAATGTGGCGTGATCACCCCCTAACTAAACCGAGAAACTGTTGGTTCACAATCTCACACTGAACAGACTTCAATGTGGTCCCTGTTATATTATCAGGGGACATTCCTGCTTGACAACTGTACAAGAATCTGTATCAAAATGTTGCACTAAGAATACAAGAAGACAAAGTCATCAATATCCCCCGCAATGGCAAAATACTCTTCATGATTATGTCTACGAGTTATGATTATGTCAAATATTTAGGTGTGTATATAGAAAAGTGGAAGGAGAGTATTGAAAGGATTTTAAAGTTCTGCTCCAGAAAGGAGCACTATCACCAATTTCAGTCTAAGTCAAACTTGTTGCCATGGAAATGCCAAAAATATTTTATTCAGAAATCCAAAACTACCAAAAGGCACCAGTACACCACCAGATCTATCTATGTGCCAAGTTTGGTGAAGAAATAGTGAACGGTTTTAGAGTTCTGCTCCGGAAAAGAGCACTACCACCAATTTCAGTTTTAGTCCAACTTGTTGCCATGGAAATGCCAAAAATATTTTATTCAGAATTCCAAAACTACCAAAAGGCACCAGTACACCACCAGATCCATGTATGTGCCAAGTTTGGTGAAGAAATATTGAACGGTTTTAGAGTTCTGCTCCGGAAAAAACAAATGTGCACGGACGGACGCACGCATGTACGGACTGAGTCCATTTTAATACCCCCCGCAAAACGCCTTGAGGGGGATAAAAAAACAGAAGTCGTTATTCATAAAGTTTACAGTATTGTACTTCCCAACTTCTAAAATGATACTCAAGAAGATACCTCCATCCACCTTCATATACAAACTACCACAACTAAACAACATCTTATGTAAAGCATTTACCTTGATCTCCAGTAGATACCCGGTCCACCACTTCATTCTCACGATCAAAGGGGTTACTTCTCTGTAAAACATATACAGGTAATCATACTAACAAAGCTAGCAATAGCTATCAGTGACTACTGTCACAACCAGACACAGGGCTCCAGAGACACAGAGTATTTATTCCCATGTTATCGTCCACTTCAAGGATAGTTAGCTGTCTTTGACCATTGTCCATGAATACTTAATCACTGCAGTATAACTCATGCATATGTGTTGTCAAGTAGGATGTGCATGACAAAAAATGTACCAAGCTGGAAAAGCTACATTGTGTAATTATTTGGGCTGTTATGATTCACTCAAGTATTCGGTGAACTGAATTTAATTCATTATTAGCCATCACTAGAATCAAATATTCATGAATTTCATGAATTTAAAAAGGAGTAGGTTTTCTTGCATTGGGAATTATTTATCAGAACGAGAGATGCAAATGCAATCTATCCAAGGCAGGCAACAAACACTATCAACATGGTCAAAACATATCAAATAATTATTTAGTTATAATTTCACTAAATATAATGACTTGTTATCGTACTTACTATTCATATTCGATAACCAGTATTCATGATGCGTATTATATTCGGGTCATAGTTGATACTACCGGGTTGCCAAATGTCTTTATGAATGTACATATCTTTTCTGGAACAGGTATTAGAGTTGAAACTTTCACTTGTATAGATCCCTGAAGCAATAAGATATCCTAGCCATCCCCTAACGAATCTAGTGTTACCTGTTCCACTTCGGGTGTCCGTCTTCTCTCCTCAGAATCAGCAGAACCATTCGTGGACAGACCAACAGACAGGTTGGGCTTGGCCAGGGTGATCTTCTTCAGCTTGACATCAGTGGATTTGTTTTCCTCATCCCCTGAAGAGTGGCGGCGTTCTGCATTGGACATTATCAGAGTCACACTTTGCCATAAGGGTTTGGAGTGTGCTACTTTGTGCATGTGTTGTTTAATGCTGCACTTGGCAATAGCCTAGTTATATGACACCAGCCTCTAAATAACTGAGTCTGGACCAGATAACTCAGTGAATGATATTGTGATCGACCATACTCGTCAGGGGATGATGACACACCATCAACCAAACCATCTAGCCTAATTGCCCGATCAGTTGCCTCATCCGACCAGCATAACAATGGACCCGATTTAACTTTGAAATAATGTATGACTTATTCACATTTTCATACAAAATTGTGCAAAAATATTCATCACAGCTCAGTTCTTAGTACTTTCAACTTGAAACTGCAATCAATATGCACTTTATAACAGAATATAATTGTACACAGTTATGATTAAAATTCATGATTTGCATATACATCTAATAGTCTTCAAGGCTGTTTTACTCCCAGTGATGTAAACAAGATCTGAGGGGATGACCTGAAGTGGTCGCTAGTCATGAAAATGCAGGTTCAATTCCCCAAATGGATCCATACAATATGTTAGGCCCATTTCTGGTGTCACTTTCATGAGGTAGCTGGAATATTGCTAAAAGCAGCATGAAGCCTTACTCACCGCCGTACAAGACCTGAAGGTTATCTACACACGTTACTGCCAACAATATTTTTCAGTACCCTCTGTATTCCACAGACATTTAATGGCATGACTAATACTAATGGGGCCCAGGACTAGCTGGTTGAGGCAACTTGAGTGATCAAACCACAGCAACTACAGTACTATACAATCCTCACAGATCTATCATTCTTTGTGACAGTAGATTGGGTGAAGACATTTCTTCACTGTACATATATCTGTAACATGTATCTGACTTGAGGCTTGGGAATGTTGGTTGGTGGTTTGTTTTGTTTAACACCGCACTCAGCAATATTCCAGCTATATGATGGCATATAATTGAGGCTGGGCCAGACAATCCAGTGAGCATCGACATGACAATTGGGATACAATGACATGTGTCAACCAAATCAGAAATCCTGACCACCCGATCTCATTAATCGCCTCTTACGACAAGCATAGGTAGCTGAAGACCAATACTAACCAGGATCTTCATGGGTGGCTTGGGAGTGGTTTAGAGCACAAACTGTCATACCAGAAGTGTAACTATGACACACTGATGGTAAGGCACACAGTGAGAGGAGCATGCATGTAGGTGAGAACAGAGACGAGGCAGATAGAGTCAGTATACATCAACAACTTATCACAGGACATCACTGTCCAACATTATAGAGAAAGCAGTCCTCAATCACAGAGAAAGCATTCAGGAGAAAAATGCACATCTTATTTGTTCAGCAATTAAGCTTCATCAGTGTTTGAAATTAAGTGATGTCATTGGGTCCTTGAGGTATTCTATAGTATTTGAATATAGGGACCCTCTAAATCTTCAAGACTGAGCTTATGACAAGGACACAGTATTTAAAAAGAAACTCCCAGGCTGCCATCAGGACCCACATAATTTAGAAACTGCAGGTACTGACTAAACTCTTCAAGACCTCTTTTAAGAAACTGCAGCCTATTGTGAAATATAAGTAGACACATAAACTTATTGTGGTCCATAAAGACCTGTACAAACTACAGGCCTGCCATGAGGTCTACTGGTATGGGTCTATTGGCAGACACTTCTTTCAAAGACAGCAAGGATCCCTGACTTTCATGCTTTACTTCAAACACTGATCAAGAACGGCTATGGAAGGAACACAAGAGTGACCCTTCCTGCTCATGCATCAGACTCAGGCAAATTTGGAAGAACTGTCCAGAACACGTGCACAAAGTGCAAGTTGTACACACAAAAATATCAAAGATCTGTTCTTCTTCAAAGAATATGAAGACATGCAACTTTCATGTGTAACTATTTCTACATTTCTTTGATGGGCATTTTAGAAGTTGAGTTGATGAAGAATGATGACAATTTTTATGGATATACAACTTCTTTTATTCTGCGAAGGGCGACGTTTCATCATAGATTCTAATGTCGTTGTCAAGCACTTTTATATGTAATTATTTCTACATTGTTTGTAACAACAGTTCAGGGCACAAAGTTTCCCTGAAACTGCTACAAACAAATGAAAGAGCTTGTCCATGAAACAGTGCTGCCTGTGTCTGATGTAAGGGTCACCTACAGCAGAGAACGTAGCTACCTACCAATGTAGTGCACTCTGGGAGCAAGGCGGTACGCCTTGATGGAAACTGCCATGCACACAAAATCAAAGTTCAGCCACATGTCGTACAACAAAGAAGCAAAACAATTAGTGCAATAAATTAACAACTAGTACAGTGATTAAGAGAATGCTTTAAAAACACAAAGAACTTAAGAATAAAAGTACACATGAAACAGTAAATATAAGTAAACTGTATGTGTGTTGAGGTGTGTTTTATGAATACAATGTAAATCTTTTCCTCTTTAACTTTCTTTCATAAAACAGTAGATGTCAGTTATCATTAAAAAGGAACATGAGTTGCCACGTCATAGTCAGTTAGTGAGTTTAGTTTTAGGCCGTACTCAGCAATATTCAAACTATATGGCGGCGGTCTGTAAATAATCAAGTCTTGACCAGACAATCCAGTGATCAACATCATGAGCATCGATCTACCAAACTGGGATATGATGATATGTGGCAACCAAGTCAGCGAGCCTGACCACCTGATCCCGTTAGTTGCCTTTTACAACATGCATGGGTTACAGAAGATCAATTCTAACCTGGGTCTTCACAGGTAGGCCCAGTCATAAAGCACTGTTAATCACAGAGCTATGTCCCTTAGTAATGCCAGGATCTGATGACCATGGGCATTCAAAGATGTTGTTTGTTTTTTGACCCCACATCCATCAATAGAAAAATTTAGACCTGTGACCAGGTGAGCTACTCAGAGAGGTGTACAAGCTTGTCATGCTCAGTGCTTGTGAATGATATTATAAGCAACATAAATAAAGCCTTATTAAAGGGATCACATGGTTCCTTTGTTAATATTTCTTTCAGTTGCAGACTGTGCATTAAGACTGGAAATCAGAGCTTCATGCTGTACTATATAAAGATAACAACATCAACAGCAACAACATCAACTTCACAACATCAGCATTTATATGTACATACATACATACATACATACATGTATATACCACACAACAAACTGTCACAGAAGCCTTATTTCTTCATGAAACTATAGTCTGTCATGGCTGTGATGATTAACTATAGTAATATGAAAAATGTGTGGTCTCTAACTTCTTTTGAGCAGTATATGCTGTGAAACCCTGATTGTCCAGACACTATCATTACCAAAGAAATGATCCATTATCTGATAAATATCATTCTGATTAACAATCCATAAATTTCATCCATTCAATACACATGGATACTGCCAATAGTATTTGTTGGAATGGGTTGAATCTGGTTTATTATATTTTTTGTTTTGCTGTTATCAAAAACATTTCAGCTCTACGTTAACTGCCTGTAAATAATCGACATAGGAAAGTGTAAAGCAACGATTGATAGCATGGGCATCAATCCACAGAAACAAGGAATGATTTGATTTGGTTTGGTTTGATGTATTATACTACACTCAGCAATATTCCAGCTATATGGTGGCGGTCAGTAAATAATCAAGTCTGGAACAGACAAACCAGTGATCAACAGCATGAGTATCAATCTACGCAAATGGGATACGATGACATGACTCAACCAAGTCAACAAGCCTGACCACCTGATCTCATTAGTCACCTCTTACGACAAGCATGGGTTACTGAAGACAAATTCTAACCTGGACCTTCAAGGGTAACAAGGAATGATGACACTAAATCAACCAAGTCACATAGCCTGACCACATTTCATTAAGTCGCCCAGTTGGATCAGCACAGCGGCTGTAGACTATTTATGTTTCTGTATCACCACATATCAGATTAGACCCGTGAAGATCCGGGGTAGAATAGGTTTTCAGCAACCTATGTGCTTGCCATAAAAGGCGACTATGCTTGTCGTAAGAGGCGACTAACGGGATCGGGTGGTCAGTTTTGCTGACTTGGTTGACACATGTCATCGGTTCCCAATTGCGCAGATTGATGCTCATGCTGTTGATCACTGGATTGTCAGGTCCATACTCGATTATTTACAGACCGCCGCCATATAGCTGGGATATTGCTGAGTGGCGTGAAACTGAAACTGAACTCACTCACTCACATATCAGACTATCAGGGAATGGACAATCAGGATTTCACTGTACACCTGCCTGAGCTAGACAGACACACACACAGAGTATACAGGGGCTTTACAACATCAGGGTCAAATTGACATGATGGAGGCCGTCCCCACCTGGGGTCCCACCACTGCAAGCTTAACCTACCTGGCTCAGTTGTGGATGGTTTCAGTACTTTTGTGGTGCTGTCTGGCTCCCCTGATTTTGAATCTGTGCTACTCTGGCGGTCAAATGATGGCTCAGGACTTCCAATACCCGCTCTGGCTTCAGCAATCAACTTCCTTGCTCGTTCTCGTAAGAGCTTCTGTCGATCCTCATCCTGCAGATCATGAAAATTCTCCACAAATGTTACTCGTTTCACATAGGTTTGATCCATATGAAATATAGTTATATTCACTGTTGATACAAAATGCATTATATGCTTATATGGATTACATTTGAAACACATCAAATCATGCTTGACAGATATTTGTTTTTAACATACAAGCAGTATTTATTCTATATTGTATGAATACATGAAATCTTACATATAAGTATTTCATATCAATTGTATACTGTACATAAATGTATATGAGCATAAACATTATTTTTGTAGCTAAAAAGAATTGATATAAGAAATTTATGGACGGAGATGGGAAAATACATTGTGATGCTGGCAAAGCAAATGTGCAATGTGATGACTATGAGAACAGCCACCAAATTTGTGATAGAAACACTGGAAGGCTAATGATGGACACTCTTCTACAGCATACAAAATCTCTAACCTACTGAAACTGAATACAGATACACCTATATACCTGGTGCATCCCAACTACATCAAGTTCATGGGGGATATCAGGAAGGTTAATTAGACCCCTCAACAGCTGTCCCCTAATTTCTGTGTGCCCTGAACCTTTATCATCCTGCCTCACATGTATCCCATCCAGGTCCCTTCATAAATCAACACACTTTCAACTATCATCACCTACATGTTGTCTCTGACAACACCCACCCACCCACTTTCCCAAGTCATGACCAACACCCACTCACTAACCCATACCATGGCACCACCCTCTTTCTATCACGTCATGCCCCCATTCACCCACCCACTAACTCAAGCCACGCCACCACCTTCCCCCTAGCAAAAGCCATGCCACCACCTTCCCCCAAGCCCAAGCAATGCCACCACCTTCTCCCTAGCCCAAGCAATGTCACCACCTTCCCCAAAGCCCAAGCCATGCCACCACCTTCCCCCTAGCCCAAGCCATGCCACCACCTTCCCCCAAGCCCAAGCAATGCCACCACTTTCCCCAAGCCCAAGTCCTGCCACCACCTTCCCCCTAGCCCAAGCCATGCCACCACCTTCCCCCAAGTCCAAGCCATGTCACCACCTTCCCCCAAGCCCAAGTCATGTCAACACCTTCCCTCTAGCCCAAGCCATGCCACCACCTTCCCCAAGCCCAAGGCATGTCACCACCTTCCCCCAAGCCCAAGTCCTGCCACCACCTTCCCCCTAGCCCAAGCAATGCCACCACCTTCCCCCAAGCCCAAGCCATGTCACCACCTTCCCCCAAGCCCAAGTCATGTCAACACCTTCCCTCTAGCCCAAGTCATGTCAACACCTTCCCTCTAGCCCAAGCCATGCCACCACCTTCCCCCAAGCCCAAGGCATGTCACCACCTTCCCCCAAGCCCAAGTCATGTCACCACCTTCCCCCAAGCTCAAGCCATGCCACCACCTTCTCCCTAGCCCAAGCAATGACACCACCTTCCCTCTAGCCCAAGTCCTGCCACCACCTTCCCCCTAGCCCAAGCAATGCCACCACCTTCCCCCAAGTCCAAGCCATGTCACCACCTTCCCCCAAGCCCAAGTCATGTCAACACCTTCCCTCTAGCCCAAGCCATGCCACCACCTTTTCCCTAAGCCCAAGGCATGTCACCACCTTCCCCAAGCCCAAGTCCTGCCACCACCTTCCCCCCCTAGCCCAAGCAATGCCACCACCTTCCCCCCAAGCCCAAGCCCAATGTCACCAAGTCATTCCCCAAGCCCAAGTCCTGCCACCACCTTCCCCAAGCCCAAGTCATGTCACCACCTTCCCCTAGCCCAAGCCATGCCACCACCTTCTCCCTAGCCCAAGTCATGTCACCACCTTCCCCCAAGCCCAAGCCATGCCACCACCTTCTCCCAAGCCCAAGTCCTGCCACCACCTTCCCCCTAGCCCAAGCAATGCTATCACCTTCCCCTAGCCCAAGCAATGACACCACCTTCCCCCTTGCCCAAGCAATGCCACCACATTCCCCCTAGCCCAAGCAATGCCACCACCTTCTCCCTAGCCCAAGCCATGCCACCACATTCCTCCTATCCCAAAAGCTGCCCGACCCTCATACTATCCCCAGTTAGTCCCTTTCTCATTTGTCCAAATCCATGCTACCAATCTTCCACTAACCTAAGTTATCCCATCCCCTTCCAAACCAAGTCATGCCCCAACCCTTCCTCGCCCAAATGCCCCACACCCCATCCTAGCTAAGTCATGCCCCACTCCCCCCCAAGCCCAAGTCTTGCCCCAACCCCTTCCTAGCCCAAGTCATGCCTAGGCACCTTGGCATCCTCCTGCTCCGCCCCGGGAGCTGATTCAGTCGATACTGACTTCTTCAGGGTGGCTTCACGCCTGGCCTGTTCCAGTAATTGTCTAGCACGCTCTTTGAGCTCCTCGTGTCGAGACTTGGGACGAGACTAACGGAAATGCAGGCAAAGGAAGGAAAGAAACCAGAAAACAAAATCAGACCAAACAAAAGTTAGTACCTCTACAGTTAACAGAAGAAATTCAAATCATTGATTAAATCAAGACTGTAAATGACAATGTATACTCTGACAGACAATATAAAAGACAATCTCCACGCAGTTCGCTTTTTGAAATGACTACTGTTGAAGACCATTTTGACAGTAATGTCTTCATCCAAAAGTAAACAATCTGATCTGAATATCATACATTGAATCAGGAAATAAATAGTCATGGAATTATCAGAATAGTCTTAACTCAACCATTGGCATCCGCCAAGTTTCCAAATGGCAAATTGTCATATAAACATCAGATAAAATGTGTGTTTCTTTTAACCTTGAAAGATCTTCCATTTATCATATTAAAGGTAACAATAGGATTTTCAGAACATGTTTCTATCTAGGGAACACTTTCAGAGCACACTCGCTAACACACACACACACACACACACACACATTAATGCAAATGCAAGCAGCTGAAGGATATATAAGAACTAATTCTGTCGGAGTATAACATTGCTATTTACAAGTCCATATATCATGTAAAAGTGACAGTGAAACACAAACAAGATATTTCAAACACTGCAAATAAATGTCAAATGTATGTATGTGCGCTAGTCAAACACAACAGTATAAATAGTTTAAAATATGTCAGTGTAATAAATTATTATCCCAAATATATCTAAGGTAAGTAATTGACTGTTGTTTCATGGCACAGTCAGCTATATTGCAGCTACCGTAGATCACAGCCGTCTGTAAAGATGCAGATCAAACAAACCGCCCTGTCACATACTGTGAAATTGCAACCCTCATTTTTGTCGATAATTACAACAATTATAAGGCCTGACAAATTCTCCATTACTTGGAATGGTGATTGATTTGTAAATGTCTGCTAACCTGCCACATAGGATGAGCTCTGAGTGAGTGCAAGAGTGGATTTTAAGCATAATTTAGCAATATGCCATCAATATCGTATTGGGGGCATAAAATACAGTAAACCCACAATATACTCTTGTGGAGAATTGAACCTGAGCCTTAAGCATGGTGAACAAATGCTTTAACCATTAGGCTACCCCAATGCCCTGATAAAGTTCTGAAGTCAATGGGGACTTGCATGTACGCAGCATCATATTGTGCAAGCATAAAGAAACAGTCTAGCTTGTTGGGATGTGTCTCAATGTGACTATATGTGATGGACATGATGCAACAACAGAGTATAGACTAAGCTAATAGAGAAAATAAATAAGATAATAAAATACTTAATTCATAGTTACTCATAACATATGAAAATCAATATTTTAAAAACATATTGTCTACAGAATTTGATGCATAATTGTGATAACAGTACATGCATACAAAATCATCTGATTAACTGGATGATGGCTTAAGACTGATAGGTGTGTATGAGGGGGGCAAACAGGGACTCATTCAGGAATTACCCTTGATAAGATGATAATATAGTGTGCCAAATCAGGCAATGTCACAAATCTTCTACAAACTTTTATTGCTAAGCACTGAAGAATATAAATCAAATTTCCAGTTTTGTGTTCTGTGATGCAAAATTCATCATGGTATCACAGCCTGGGGATAAGCAAATTCTTTCATATTACTGTAATTAATTTACTATGAGAGATAAAATACAGGTATATCAAAGAATCAGCTGATCCTTACATTTTCTGAGTAGTATAGATAATATTCTCATTGGGAATACTCAAATGACAAAAGATGTTGTTCAAGCCTTAATAAATCCCTGTAAAGTACCCTGTTCCAAATATCGGTACTCTCAGACTATCACTGAACCTTTAGGATGGATATAAGAGGATGAGGAACACTGCAGGCCATATAGGACATCTGTATAGGACAATACTCACATCACTGGTACAGACCGCAGGACCAGGTGGGCTACCTGCCTCCTGTGTGGCAGTGATGTCTGTCGGAGACGTAGGCAGGTTGCGTCTCTTTACAACCTGAAACAGAATAACATTTAGTGGAGTTTTTAACAGGAAGGTCCTAACGGATAGAATGAACAAAGAATAATCTGTGTTTGGTAACAAATTTGGGGGCTTTCTGCTTGTGAGTGTCAGTGTAAATAGCATTAAAACAACAATTTAGACAGGAAACATGTTTTCTGTTTAAAAATTTGTTTATAACCCGAAATTTGAGTTGTTTCCTTTGCTAAGGGTGTTACTAGATTGCTTCTCCACAACATCAGACTGGCACAATGTTGTAACTATGTAATTATACATCATATGGGAGTCTTTGAATGAGTGAGTGAATCATGTTGAAGGTCCAGCTAATTAATGTTTAAAACCAACAAATGTGTACTGCAATTAACTATACATACATCGCAACAATGTCACTTGAAGCCTGATGTTTTAGCTGACAGTATCATGAGGGGCCTTGGTAAACTGACAAAAGTTACAAGTTTTAACTGTCACAGTGTAACTTCCTTGACAACAACATTAGAATCTATGGCGAAATGCCCCCTTTCACAGAATAAAAGTATGTCAATAAAACTTGTCATCATTCTTCATCACCTCAACTTCTAAAATGCCGATCAAGTAAGTTCTTTTGAGCAGTATATAATAGGGTGAGTGAGTGTTTTATGCTGGAATCAGCACTATTCTTGCTATATAATCGTGACATATAATGTTCTCAAATCCTGACGGGGATGGAAGATATACCAAAGGATAAGAGACACATCAATCAGATTCACTATTTGCCATCAATATTGAAAAACCCCGGATAAGATTCACTTCTAGACATAAAGTGTCCAGTAACTTTGTTCTATCACCAGCTGCAGGATTGCTTTACATTCTTCACATTATATATCCATTTTACTAACACCTAAGAGCTATAGGTGATGTCTTCCTATTGAACACAGAAACCTACTGGTGGTGGCTGTTTCTCTGGTGTTGGACTTGAGAGGCCACTAATATCCACTGGGATCTTCTTCCTGACAGCAGAGAGCAGAAAGAGAAAATGTTATGATGTATATCACTTTCCTGGTAGAAAGAAAGAGGGCAAAAGTCCCTAATCACCAATTGTCTAACTCTGCTAGTTCTGCAGTATCATGTTCCACCAATCACTCTATGACAACTCATCTTAATCTTCCAGGCATGTGACTGGGGATGATAAAAAAGACAGTTAGTCCTGGAGTGGGCATGCATAAGCCGCAAGCCCCCAACCAGGTCTATAGTAGAGCCCTGGTAAAAAAAAGATGGAGCTCTGATCTTTAGCCTAGAAATATATGTTATATATATGCCTACCCTTCCAACAAACACTCAACCCTCTACTCTCACATCTATGGTATAGTTACAGATCTCTGACTCCCAACATCTTTAAGATCATCACACATACTTTCATCACACTCTTTCTAATTCCCAGACTGCCAAAGCTCGGCACATCACTCTTCCTGCTCTCCTTCTTGAACCTACTTACCTTGTCGCTATTTGGCAGAAATAATGCTGTTATATTTTAACAAACTCACTAACCTACTGTCAAAATTACATTTGCATGCATTCTGGTTCCCAGAGTTTTCCCTTTAGTCTTTCTGCCCATCTCACTTAGCCCGTCCCACCTCACTCACCTCTCTGCCGGGACAGGGACCGAGACTGGGACAAGGACTGGAACTGAGACTGGTTCTGGTTCTGGTTCTGGTTCTGGTACAGGCTCAGGTTCCTGCTCAGCACCATTCACTTGTTCCTCCTCCTGAGCTTGATCCGTTTCAACATAGCTGCTGGAGAAGGGGTTGGATGGATCATCTTCTTCCTCATCCTCCTCATCAGAGTCAAACGGATTGTACAGCTGCTTTCTTGTCATCAGCATTGGTTTATCTGAATCGGACTTCTGGGGTGGAGTAGGTGCCCGGCGCTTCTTCTGCTTTGGTGGAACTGGTGCACGCCGTTTCTTATAATGAATCTTCTTGGCACTGGCAGGAGAGGCTGATGATTCCCGGGACAAATCCTTTGCTGGAGAAGCTGAGCTACGGTCTGACTCAACACTTGCTGAGTCTCGAGAACTGTTGGAATTTCGTGAGCTGTCATCCTTAGGAACAGTGTCTCTGTTCAGCTCCATGCTGGTCCTCGATGTCCTATTCTCACTGCTCACAGGCTCATGCCTCAGCTCTACATCACCACCATTAACTGTAACTGTTTCACTCTCCCTATTAGCCACATCAAAGTCCTTGATCTTGTCTGGAGACTGAGGGTAAGGATTTTCTTTGGTGAATGTTTGCCATACATCTCCTCTGATATTCTCTGGTCAGTGACTTCATCGTGTTCCCCACACGTGTAGGTGCTCTCGCTGGTGCTCATGCCAATCTGCTGCACCTCAAGCGTCTGACCTGTGAAGTACGCACGTAGCTGGTGCAGGTATGTCATCACACACAGTTTGTCTGGCACCGCAAGTAGCACCATATCAGATGGCTCAATCACTTTGGGGATTCCAAGTTTGGCAGCTGAGTCAAATGCCTGAAATAAATGACATCTACCTAACAACCAGTCAAAAATAAAACTCTACATTCTTTGAGTGAGTGAGTATGGTTTTACGCCACTTTAATCAATATTCCATCAATATCACGGCGGGGAACACCAGACATGGGCTTCACACATTGTACCCATGTGGAGAATCGAACCCGGGTCTTCGGTGTTGAGTGAATGCTTTAACCACTAGGCTAGCCCACCGCCCCAAAACTCTACATTCAGAACTCCAAACGATCATTATCTGTGCAACTCTCAAGCAGGTCAAGAACATGGCATGGTACGGAATATCTCAGAACTTCCTAGATGCACTTTATTTTTGTGAATGACCTGAAGGCTTCTGAATGATTAAATACAGGCAAAATATGTGAAACAATCACAGCTCATTACTTCAGAAAAGTTTATGTGAAACATCAAAGATGCATCTTAAACCAAGTTAATTGTTATGTCACAACATACTTACTATTTTGTTGTTACCCTTTATATTATGCGGTGCTAAAGACGCAAAATCACTGGAAGTAGAAAGTGTTCATCATGAATAACATACACACTAGTATGACTGAAGATACAAATTCATAAAGTTCAGTTTTAGATGGCAAAATTAAATTTACGAAGATGCTGATTTTCACGGAACATGAGATGGACTCACATGAGATCTGGTCGAAAGTGGTGGATTATTGCACAAAATGCCATCCCGTTTCTCCATGATGTTGTCAGGTTGGTGATCTTCACTCCTCGATAACCACTGGTGACCTCCTGGCACCATGACAACAGGTCCTGCGACAGGTTGCCAGGGCTGGTTGCCTCCATCTGTAAAACAGTTATCTCCCTTTCAGTCACTCACTCCAGGGAGTAAAGAACTTCATCCAACAAGATCGACTACAGCACCACATGGTTAACGTGTAGGTGACTGGGATATATTGGTACAGTCAGCCATAAAGACAAACGGATCAAAATTATTTCCCTTAGTTCTTAGAAAAATTTGAATTACTGATAAAAACAGTGCAAAAGAAATAATCTTACACAAACTTATTTAATGACTGCAATTTCAGATGTCTTCATCATCAACAAACATACTGCAACACCAAAAGAGTATTTTAATTTCAGAGTAAATTTGAAATAACATACCAGACTCGTCTCCCCTTCAGGAGTCTGTGAGAAGGTGCTGACATTGGCAGAAGATATTTCTGAAAGTGAAGACCTGCAACAAAGAAGTCACTTCAATCAGAAGCATTCCATCTACATGTATACAGTTAAAAGTGATATATTTCACTGTACAGAGCAGCATCACTTGGGCATGCAAGAAACCTACGATCTTGGGCTTGAATTGTGGTTAACCCCATTTGTGTACCATTACCAAAGTGGAAAACATTTGAGACCTGTTTCACGTTGGGCTTTCTCTCACATTACACAGAGAACTAGTGTTGGGAATTGGTTAAAATGTCATAATTGATGATTGGTTCATTACTACAGATCAATCATCGAAAATAATTGGTTAGTATTATTTATGAAATTTGTTGATGCACATAAAAATAAGGGGAAAAATGTTGTTCTTTGGGGGTTTTTTGGCAAAATTTCACATCTTTAAAGGATGACTAGTATGTAAGGAACATAAATTTCTTGGAATCTTTAAGATAAATTCAATCATGACTTGAAATGAGCTTGTAGTGCTTATGAAATGTAACAGACAAAACCAACCATGTGAAAAATATTGTTAATGAAAACAAGTGCTCCAGAATTGTTTGTGTTCGATTATGAGAAATTATGATCGATTGCTTGGTCGTTTAGTCACTATGACCAATCTTCGATTATTTCAATTAATTGGACCACCACTACAGAGAACTAGAATATTTAATTGTTCAAAGCATCATATAACCCAACTGACTGACCCACTGTGTGTATCCATCAGGTTGTGATTGTAGGATAGATAAATGACCACTGATGCCAAATCTTTTTCACTCCAATAAAAAACTAAATTAATTACATCTTACGTTCTTGCAACTACTCCGTACCAGCTGACAACACCTTACCTTGTCGAGACATCTAGTGTGGAGTTGAGTGATTCATCCAGTGGAGGTGGAGGAGTTATGGCCCTTGTTGGAGGCTTCTCTTCTTCTGGTGTAGATGGCGGTGTGCCTTCATATATTGGCCGATCCGTAGGAGATAATGACTTGCTCATTTTCAGAGTCATTGAGGATTTCTTCTTTGCTCCATGTTTGCTGGCATCCTTGTGAGACAGGGAAGCAGGGAGAGTCCTGTACTTCAGCTGATCTCCCTGGCTGGCACCAGACTGTTTGGATATACTAGCACTATCAAGTTTCCTGAAAATGTCCTCATCTGTTTGGTGACTGACTTCTTCTGACTTTTCACTTGAGTCCTCGAATGGATTAACAGTTTTTTTCTCCTTTTTGTCTTCAGTTTTCTTAAACACTGGCTCAACTAAAGAAAACAAAATGTTAACACTGAATAAAAAAGAAATCTCAGACAAGATCAATAAATATGTATACAATGACAAATGAAAGAGATATAGGTAACATATTCTTAATGACAGTAGAAATTACCACAGATATTTCCCTGCTCATTATTTAGGCACTTGTGACTTAATCTCAGACCAGCTACATAAAATGTTGACACAATGATGCTATCTTATTGCTGGAGATTATTGATGTCATTCTACAACAACGGTTCTCTAGGATGGCAGTTGTGAACAGTATATTTTTCTATGGGGATCTTGAACGGTTTAAATAATAATGAATGATAAAGAAATTACTACACTCCGTGTTCGTCATACTGATTTTACTAAACGTATGAAAGAATTCATGTATTACCCACAACCTTACTCTGGAACTCAAGAATTCTAACGCTCATCTCATTAAAAAATCATTATGAAAGATGCCTAATAAATCATCTCTATGAATGTTAAAAAAACTTGTATAGTTTACTTGATATTTCCCCTTCAACCACTGTTACTTGCAGACACATTGGGGTTAAAGTAGTCTGTCTCACAGTCCCTGAACTACATTATTTTCCCTGCTGCCTAGCTCTCTCTGCAATGCTAAAGCCCTAAATGAAGCAAGTCTTTTGAATCTCTGGTCTCCCTGGGGCGCCTTTTCAATTTATATGGGTTTGTTTGTTACTATCAAAATTATATATTCAGAGACTAAGCGTTAGTCCAGGGATGAGATTGCTGTTGACCAAACACCAAACTGTGACAACAGACACACAGGGGCTTGTACGCTTAAAACTGCCATCAAGGTATGTACTGTCACTAACGCCAGTAACGGGGTCTTATATATATAGTGATAAGACCCTGTTAGTGACAGTACATACCTTGATGGCAGTTTTAGTGTTACAAGCCCCTGTGAACAGGCACACAAGAACCAGCAACAACATTGTCCAGCTGCATCTACTCTAAAGGGTGAGTGAGTGAGTATGGTTTTACTCCGCTTTTAGCAATATTCCAGCAATATCACGGCAGGGGGACACCAGAAATGAGCTTCACACATTGTACCCATGTGGGGATCTAAAGGAGTGGGTGAGTATTATTTTGTTGTTGCTACTACCACCCAAGTTCCAGCAATATGACTCAAAGGACAGGTTTTCCTTGACAATAATAACCTACACAATGAGAATCCTTACTCACATACATGGTCAGAAACACTACCATAGTCAGGTCCCAGACAGGGGATCAAACTGGTCAGCTGTGATCCCCACTGTCTGGTGGAGAGTATGTAAACATGCTTAAAGGACGATATTCGGTCCCATGTCTACAGCAAGAGTAACCAATAATTCCGAAATTAAGGATATCCAATTTTATGTTGATGAAATAAATTGTTAAGTCATAGCTAAGGTAATGGCTTTGTAGAAGTGACAGGTATTTCACTGATAACAGTGCCAATCTACAAATGATAAAGAAGAAGAAACTTTAATTTAAATTACTACCAAAATGAAATAATAATATTCAAAGTCAAAAGACCTCTGAATTTAAGTATGTATAAAAATCCATTGAAGTAACTTAGGACAGGGGCCCATGTCACAAATCGATCAAAGTGCTACGACCTTCGTAAGTCTATGTTAAAGTATGGGAATTACGATCACTTTAGCGCTACAAATGCTTTGTGGAACAGGGCCCTGATTCCCTATTAGCTTCTGAAGGGACTTAAAGTGGAATCCAAGATTTATCCCTGATTCAGACTGGCAGATAATGCTGGATTTTGCTGTAGTTGCCTGCCAACTACTATTCCTACACAGCAGCCATTATTAGTGGACAAATCACAAGCTTTAGGACAGGGTCAGCACTGGTATCACTACTGGGAGTGTGAAATCAGGACTCAACTGTAGAAATACACCTGGACAGTTTCATTATTCTTTACAATTATGTCACCCCAGATAATACAGAATATTACATCTCCCATCTGTCATGATAAATACCCTGGACCAGTTCATCACTGGGGCTTCAAGTTCAGTTTGATTGATTTGAGTGAGTTTGGTTTTACGCCTCACTCATCAATATTCTAGCTATATGGCGGTGGTCTGTAAATAATTGAGTCTGAACCAGACAATCCAGTGATCAACAGCATGAGCATCAATCATACGCAACTAGGTTACGATGACCACCCGCCTCTTACGACAAGCATGGGTTGCTGAAGATCAATTCTAACCCAGATCTTCACACGTTAGTTTGATTGAAATGATACTGTAAATACATATTCAGAAAAGGTACAACCATTTTTTGGTGGTTGGAACAAGTGGTGATATCACCAGCACTTGATTCAACTTTTCGTGTGTGGTCTCAAAGTGAGATGTCTTGCAGCAAAGGTTTTTTTCTCTCTCTTTCTAGTACACAATATGCATCTTTTCTATCTTCAAAATCATTTATAATATTTTTCTGATCAAATACACTGACTCTCATGTAAGGCTATGGTATTAAAGGCAGATATACACTGAAACTCCTGTTTGGATGAGGAAGTTTAAGTTTAAGTCGCTGATCAGGGAGATGAAGCAGATGACATCACTTCCAAAGTGAAGCTACAGTGGTAAAGGAATCCAGGGTATTTAAACTAACAGAATGAAGATACAATTCCCTGTATCACTGGGGATGCAACAAAGTGTCCAGAACCTGGTATCCTTCATTATCAACCTGAGGTCATCTACAAGCTGCCTGGACCAAACACATACAACAAGAATACAGACATGTTAGTACTGGTCAGGCCTACCATACAAACGGTGAACAAATCATCAAAACTGAACTCATATACACCAAAACAGACCACATATCACCAAAATAGGAAAATAAACTTCCAAAATTGCAACAATATCCTCTAAAACTGAAATGAACGCCTCTGTAATTGCTAACTAATCGTTTGAAATGGAAACCAAAATCGTGCATCTGCTACAAGAGCGGCCGAGAACGGTCGCCGAGCCTTCGAAACGGCAGTCATAGCATCCCGAAATGGCACGCAAAATCGTCAGTCATCGGCATTCTTCGCCTCGACGCCTCGCATTCAGTTTCGTTCGTTTCGGTTTTAGAGGATATTGTTGCAGTTTTGGTGATTTTTGTTCTGTTTTGGTGTATATGAGTTCAGTTTTGATGATTTGTTCACCGTTTGTATGGTAGGCCTGCTGATGAAGCCTGAAGAATTGATACTAGTGTCAGAGGGCACAGCTAGCATGGAACAGTCATGCCACCAACAGTCAGTATACATCACTCAACAGGCTGTCCATGTGTGCAGTGTGTCGACAGTCATTGACAGCAGGTGCATCAGCAGTATCAGAAACAGTGGTCACAGCCACATCAAACATCTACCACGACATGAGCATGGAGAGAGGATGGAAAACATTCACAATCTTTAAAGACATACTTCATCAAGTAGTGAAAATACACCACCATGGGTAGAGACAATTCAAGTTGGGATCAAGAAAAAATATTCATGCATAGGAGAAATTAATAAAAAAAATAAAATAAAAATCTAGCAAGGAGATGGTATGAAACAAAACAAGAGTTGAAACTGGTAGCGTTGTTGTCAATACTGATTAAACCTTTTCACGGCAAATCTCAAATTTACTCATTATTATTCTTCTGCAACTTTTCATGTTTTTGATAGAATAAAGTACTATTCATTGTGGTTATACATTTTGAACAATGTATTATTACAATACCGACAACAGGCTGAAACACCATCAGTGGATGTACGTACCATGTGACAATAATATATAGGGAATTATCAGAATTAACATCACTTTTGACCTTTGTTCAGTTTTTCTTATCCACATATGCAATATGAATATAATGCAAACCAACTGTTCAGGAAAATATCAACACATAATCAATTCATCTCTTGCATCGTCCCTAAGTGCCATGTTGTATGTGGTACAGACGTTCCACTGATAGTGTTCCAACAAGAAGCAGCAAACAGAAACAGCATGCCAACAATACCAAATGGGTTAAGCGAAGTCGCCATTGCCCTCTGTGTCACATGCCCAGTCCTCGTCCTCGTCATCTCCAAACGGATTACCATGATGTGCCTCCAGATTATCTAGCTGGGAAGTGATATCTTTAATCTGAGTGCTCAAAGCTTTGTCGTCTCGCTTGTGATTGGCAACACCAGGTTCCTCTTCCTCCTCCTCTAGGTCGTCCAGATTGCCGATGTCAGCCTTCCCCATGCTCATGAGACTGGCTACACTCTGCATGTCCTCATCTCTGAAAAACAAGTCTCAGTTTCATCCCAAATACACAGTGATACCAGAGACCATACCAACACAACAGTCTTCGTTATAACTGATACACTTACAGTTGGTGCTAACGGGCAGTATGTATCTGTCAGTCTGACCCTGTCTGATCTACAACCTTGTGGACACATGATTGTAAATATTGAAACATTGAATCAGAACACGGAACTGACTGCTGCAACCTCACCATGTATGTGAACATGTGCAACTTGATCCACAAGCATGGGCATCTTCTCTATGTAACCCACACCCTGCACCCTCAGCCAGAGATGCCATGATGTCACCAAGGAACGGTTAGCCTTGTTAACTAGTCTGCATGATTACCATGCAATGCTAAGTAGATACAAACCCTGTCACACTAGAAGGCTTATCAGGCCTAACACCTGGTTATTTCCACAACAGAAAATCTATATTTGTCGAATGAAGTCTAGACAGTGTTTGTCTCGCATACACTGAGACAGAATCATTGTGGTCAGACTAACAATCCAAACTCTTCTCTTCTCAATGTCTCCAAGATTTATCAACTGTTAATGAGGGTCTACATGGTGAGAAGAGATAATGTTACATTTTACATTGATGGAAAGTCATTGAGGTTCAACATGGTCTATATAGATATAGTTTCATTTTACATTATGATGAAAAGCCATTGAGGGTCTACATGGTCCATTCAGATACTGCTATATTTCAAATTGTGATGAAAAGTCATTTAGGGTCTGAAGTGTTGGTCTAGATGCAGTTATATTTCACATTATGATGAAATTCATTTGAAGTCTAACGAATAAGTAAAAATACTGTTACAGTAAAAATACTCAGAATCGAATACATTTTACATTATGATGAAAAGTCATTGAGGGTCTACATGCAGTTAATATCACTGGCGGTAGTTATGTTTCACATGTTAAAAATGTCACTATGAGGGTCTACAAGGTTCAGCCTAGATAGTGTTCGCGAATGTTTACATTCCCACAATCACAATCGTGGAATGTGATGACTACTCTCGCTTCATCTGGATATACTGATCTAAACTTACGGTTGGTAGAAGAAATGCGACGTTGATACTTTATTTCTTAATTACATTATGATGAAAGTCATTGAGGGTCTACATCGATCATATACCTGGTAGTTATTTTTCACATGTTAAAAAGTCACTGAGGGTCTACAAGGTTGGCCTAGATAGTGTTATATTTCACATTATGATGAAAAGTCTTTGAGGGTCTAAATGGTTGGTTCAGATAGTGTTATATTTCACATTATGATGAAAAGTCTTTGAGGGTCTAAATGGTTGGTTCAGATAGTGTTATATTTCACATTATGATGAAAAGTCTTTGAGGGTCTACATGGTTGGTTCAGATAGTGTTATATTTCACATTATGATGAAAAGTCTGAGGGTCTACATGGTTGGTTCAGATAGTGTTATGTTTCACATTATGATGAAAAGTCTTTGAGGGTCTACATGGTTGGTTCAGATAGTGTTATATTTCACATTATGATGAAAAGTCTGAGGGTCTACATGGTTGGTTCAGATAGTGTTATGTTTCACATTATGATGAAAAGTCTTTGAGGGTCTAAATGGTTGGTTCAGATAGTGTTATATTTCACATTATGATGAAAAGTCATTGAGGGTCTAAATGGTTGGTTCAGATAGTGTTATATTTCACATTATGATGAAAAGTCTTTGAGGGTCTACATGGTTGGTTCAGATAGTGTTATATTTCACATTATGATGAAAAGTCTGAGGGTCTACATGGTTGGTTCAGATAGTGTTATATTTCACATTATGATGAAAAGTCTTTGAGGGTCTAAATGGTTGGTTCAGATAGTGTTATATTTCACATTATGATGAAAAGTCTTTGAGGGTCTAAATGGTTGGTTCAGATAGTGTTATGTTTCACATTATGATGAAAAGTCTTTGAGGGTCTACATGGTTGGTTCAGATAGTGTTATGTTTCACATTATGATGAAAAGTCATTGAGGGTCTACATGGTTGGTCTTGATACTGTTATTTTTTGTATTATGATGAAAAATCATTGAAGCTCTACATCATTCATACAGAGTTATATTTCACATTAAGATAAAACAGTCAGTAAGAGTCTACATGGTTGGTTTCATTTTTATATTGTATAAATTGTTTTCGTCACGATATGGCTGAAATATTGCCGATGGACGTTAAATATTAACTCACTCACACACTACATGGTTTGTATAGATAGTGCTACAGGGAAATAAATCATGCTTAATTTGAAGGCCATGGTATGGTAAATATTGAAATGAAATATTTTCAGTGTGCCCAAGCAACACAACTAAAATTCTACCATGATTCCTTCAATGGAAAATGTAATACATTTGACCAGCTGAAATGATTCAAAACCTATTATTGCACCTAATCAAACTGTTGTGGCACTCTCAATGTCACAGCTAAACATAGGCGTGATGCATTGGATGCCAGTGCGCATAACTGGAAATCATGTTCTGGATGATAACATAGTTTATGGGTTTATGGGTCCAGGACAAATGAAACTGAACTATTCTTGCAGTCATGATAGTGTTCAGGAAATCCTGCTCTCAAGTCTAAAAGTTTACATGATATTTACTGGTGGATTAAAAAACAATAAATTGACATGACATAATCGTTGTGATGTATTAAGTTTAAGTGGATAATTAAAAGGCATGGGCACACCTATTTTCACAAAGCCACACATAAATTATCTGTCAGGTGCCCAATCGCTCTCTTTGAAAACAATTGCTTTTCCATCCCTGTGTCATATTTTATCTAAAAAAATCTGTAATGCTTCTCTTTGACATTTTGACAGCCAAAAAGATTCGATGATAAACTGTGAATCAAGTTGAGCTCTGTACAGCGAAACAAACTCCTTACAGTGATTCATGTTACAGTTTTGTATGCAAATAGACGTACTAGCAATGTGCAAAGCTTAAGAAGCCTTGTTTTGAATTCTGGAAGTTTCAATATTTTGATTTTAATTTCCAAATGTTTGACATTGCTTTCAATGAAAATATTCATATTGTGAAATGGATTACGCACCCGATACATAAGACACATTATAAATAACAAATTTGCGCCAAGGTAAGTACAATTTGCTGGAATCCCGCAATTACACAGTCTAGCTGCAGCACTGAAGAAGGGTACATATGTGGACTCACGTGGCCTTGCCCTCCCTGATGAAGGTGCAGGAGATGGTGAGCTCCAGTGTCGCTGACACTACTTTCTTAGTGGCTGGTTTCAGATTGACCTTGATGGTCTTCTGTGTGGGCACATGACTGGCATACTCCCTCATGTTGATGTTGCCGGTGGCCAGGACCTTCCGGCGACCCTTCGACTGCTGCATATAGAATTCGGGTAACATAAGCTTGTCAGTGAACAAACTCATACAGTGGCTCAGAATGACATTTGGAAACTCCCCATAGTTACATAACACATGAAGCCATCAAGATCTGGGTTAGAACTGATCTTCAGTAACCCATGCTTGTCGTGAGAGGTGACTAATGGGATTGGGTGGTCAGGCTTACTGACTTGGTTGACACATGTCATCATATCCCAATTGCGCAGATCTATGATGCTCATGGCATTGATCACTGGATTGTCTGGTCCTGATTATTTACTGAATATAGCTGGAATATTGCTGAGTGAGGCATTAACAACAAACAAAATAAACAAACATAAACATATGCATTGAAATCCAATCTTTCATTTGCCAAAATACTTTCTCTTTCCCATGCTGTCAAAAATGGTCTGGTCATGTCTGTTGGTTTGGTTGCTGTTTAACAGCGCACTCAGCAATGCCCCAGATATATGATGGCATCCTGTAATCTCGTCTTGACCAGACAATCCGGTGATTGATATCAGTTTTAATCCGACGGCAACTGGGATAAATGATATGCATGAACGAAATCAGAGAGTGAAACCACAAAGTCCCATTGGTCACCTCTTTTAAAGGGTTCACTCCCAAAAGACAGAACTCGCATAAGACAGACTCAATGAGTACAATAATTAGCTGAGGGATGTCCCATCCCAGAAAGGTGCGCCCCAGGTACTTCTAGAGGTTGTAGGAAAAAAAGTCATAGGAAAAATTTCATTGATTTGGGGAGGAAAATAAGTCATAAACTAAAAAGATCAGTATTGATAATGTATTTATTCAACAAGTCATAACAATATTATCATCAATTTCTCTGAACCACATTTGAATCTAACTTATAAAATTAAAGTATTTATTCAAGCAAAATACAAGTATAAATAACTGGAGAACACGACGTTTTTATAACAGTTGTTGTTGAAGTAGTTTTTGCAAATAACTGGAGAACAGGATGTTTATATTACTTAAGATTATTTGATGATGAAAGTGAAATAGTATTTATAAAATACAGTATAAAAAAAGTAAAAGGAGAATGGGATGTTTTATAGTAGTTATTTTTCGCATGACTTTTTTGTTGTTGTTGAATTAGTTTTTGCAAATAACTGGAGAACAGGATGATTTTATTACTTAAGATTATTTGATGGTGAAAGTGAAATAGTATTTATAAAATACAGTTTTAAAAAGTAAAAGGAGAATGGGATGTTTTATAATAGTTATTTTTCCCATGACTTTTTTGTTGTTGTTGAATTAGTTTTTGCAAATAACTGGAGAACAGGATGTTTTTATTACTTATTATTTTTTTTTTATTTACACCATCCCTTCAGCTGCTGGCGATTATGCTGAGTTTTAGCCAATATTAAAAATAACAAACATATAACAAACATACTACGATTAAAAGTATGGTAAAGCTAAATTGACTTTGATGTTTTGGGACTTACGGCTTGGTCTCATATGTTTATATACATTTTTGTTTTTGATAATATTCACAAGTAAATCACAAGTAAATGTGATCTGGCAAATATATGTTGATGTACATATATATATGTTCATGCAATATGTCTTAATTAAAAAAACAACAACATCATTCATTACATGAATTGATAAAAATATAGTTAATACCTAATGTTGTCTTTTTTTTATCTGGGCACATTCCATTATTATCAAGGGTACAGCTTAATTAAGCCTTATGCAACCAACCATAAAAAGTGTTGTTTTAAGCGGTCTGTCTTTTGGGAGGTCTGTCTTATGGGAAGATACCTTTTAAAGTTTTAATAGGCATGGGTTGTTGTATATCAATTCTAAACCAGACCATCACAAGTGAATATAACCCCAACAATAACCTGATAAACATTATCATCAGAACAGCAACAGCTCAGACAATCTACTGTTTGGTAGATAACGGCACGTTTTTTGTGGTTATATGAAACATTCATGGCTTGATCCAGCAGATAAAATGTAAGTAAGCCCCCTTGAACTTAAAATTAGAGATATAAGCAGCTAAAGCTCAATAAAATGGCTTACATCTTCTATCACAAATGTCCATTCTTTGTCTTCAAACTCTGCCTGGCGAGAGTCTCTGAATAACGTGACCATTATCTCCACATTTTCTGGTACTGTCCAGGTGACAAGTCCCTTGTAGGGGTTCTGCATGGTGGGGCTCCAGGTGTACAACTGAAACAGACAGACACAAAACCTTCATCATGCAGCATGGAGATCAGTACACAAATCGTTTATCAACTAAATACATTGCAGACAGAGCATTGGTTACATCAGCAATAAATGGCAATGAGCCAACTGTCCTTTGAAAGTGTGCATGTGCAAAATTAGAACTGATGAATAAAAAATTCATCTCATTAATTGTGAGAAAAAATGATGCAGGAAACAATAGATAAATGAATTTATTACAGAGAACAGGAACACTTGTCATAAGTACTTGTAAACTATTCTGTATATTCTTACAACTGTCCTGTATCATAATGCCAACATTCACTTATCATGTGGAAGTACCATAAAGTGGAAGTGAGTTATCTCCCCCTAACTGAGATGCCACAACAATTTCTTGTATTATTACCTGTGAAGATTTGCGCCGGTTCCTGCGTGTCCAGATAACACAAAGCTTCTGAGGTTGCACAAAGCTAGAGGTTGCCTAGGAACAAGAACAATCACTAAGTCAATGTTGTCTTTCAGTAATTTAAGACAAAAGTACAGCTCAGTTTCAATCTCATTTTAAAAAATCGATAGAAGGTGTCGTCAGGTTAATTGATTTCATTTGTCTGTTTTCTTTAACACTGCACCTAGAATTAATCAGGCTATTTGACAGCAGTCTGTAAATCATCGAGTCTAGCCAAGACAAAAATCCAGTGATCAATATCATGAGCACTAGTCCGGTCACTCAGCGGTAAGAAAACAAGCTATCAACAATGTTACTGAGTCTGACACCTAATCCATTCAGTGGCCTCTTACGACATAATTTATTGGGGAACTATTCTGACTTCGACATCATTGAATTGATTATAGATTAAGAATCATGACATAACTTCAAATGGCACTGACCTTGAAGAATAAGATTTCAAAACGTTCCAATGAACCAAGTATAAACAAAGACTGAATAGACTGATATAAACATCAGAAAGGCATCAGGAGTGAGTGAGATAGGTCTTAGGCCGCTTTTAGCAATATTCCAGCAATATGACGGCAGGGGACACCAGAAATGGGCTTCACACATTGTACCCATATGGGAAATTGAACCTGGGTCTTCGGTGTGACAAGCTAAGGCCTTAACCACTAAGCCAGTGTTTGCCCAAGGAATAAAAAGTTAGGAGTCATCATGACTCCCTGGTGTCATGAGAGGGAGCTATGGACACGGTTTTGGGAGTCAGCTTCAGTTTGGAACTTTCATCAAGACATCAACTGTGATTGTTTAATTACAACAAAAAACAAGTTAAGGTAGGTCAGTATTTAATCAGCACTAAGCAGTTAACTGGCAAACATTAAACTGCGTAGTTTTAAACAACAAAAAGTTTTAAATTACAAAATGTACTCAAACTTAAATTTAACCAGTCATCGCACAGAACCCGAAGTTTATATTATTGAATGAGTTTATATTATTTGATTATTTGCGCCATGGAACATAGGGTGTCCACCAGTTTTGACGGGACATGGGTTGATGGGCCCTCCATGGTGCACTTGCACAAAGCAACCTCAGCAATATGACTATCATAAGTCCATGATAAGGTCATGATCGTCTTTGTGCTAAGGTCGCTCTGTACAACACCACCCTCGTTAATGAATGTACATGTAAGACTGTCACCCAAAGGTCTGCTGTACAATGTATATATATATCTGCCCACACCAGTTTACACTGCTGCTATGTTTCAAGCAAGCTCCCAGTTTCAAGTAAGACTACTGCCATTAGGCATTTATCCACATCGTATGGCAGAAACAAACTTGGAGTTTATCCCTCAGATGTACTTCATTCAGAAAATATCTGAAGTATCTGGAGAATGTCATTTATGTCAACAACTTTGAGATACATCACTGCTGTTGGTATGTTGCAAATGTAATGCCTACACTTCGGCAATTTGTGTGAGTGAGTGAGTGAGTGAGTGAATGAGTTTAGTTTTACGCCGCACTTTGTAAATTTCAAGCTTAATGGCAGCGGTCTGTAAATAATCGAGTCTGGACCAGACAATCCAGTGATCAACAGCATGAGCATCAATCTACACAATTGGGATACTATGACATGTGCCAACCAAGTCAGCGAGCCTGACCACCCGATCCTGTTAGTCGCTTCTTAAGACAAGCATGGGTTGCTGAAGACCAATTCTAACAAATGTAATGCCTACAGTTTAGCAATTTTAGCGACAAACTTAAGAAAGCAACCATACATATTAGTGGTGTATATTTCATATAAATAGCCAATCAAAATCAGACATTATATGTAAGATAAGATAATATGAGTTATTCTCTATAATCAGGGACAAAATGTAACATGCAGTCAGAGAAAAGGCGGTCAAACTCACCATTTTTTTGTACATTCTACCATAAGTTCTTGGTAGGATGCTGTGAACTGAAACTTGGATGCGGCCTTGCCGACCCGCTGCAGCCTCTTCCACACACTCATAGTGAGACAGATATCACTCTACTGTACCCATCATGCAACACTCTTGTAAACGGTGGAAGTCAAACTGGCGTAAATCACTTTGTAACATTGTCAGGTAATCTGTAAAACAAAAGTACACTTTATCAGTAAATTCCTTCAACATATGCAATAAGGAACAAATGTATATTGCTAATCTGTTAGTAACTTGTTTTGATATTTGAGTGAGTGAGTGGTTTAATTTTACACCGCTTTTAGCAACATTTCAGCAATATATAATTACGGCCGCACACAGAAAATGGGCTTCACACTTTGATATTTGACGGTTATATAGCAACTTGTCACTTTCAAGTTGAAAAAGATATTTAAAGCTTTGGCAAATCGTGTGCATGGATATGGTGTTGAAAAACCAAAATCAGCAAATCTGTGATTCGAAATCACGAACTGCTGCATCATGGCCGACTTTACCACCTGTGTCCTTTGTTCCTGCCCAGGCCTAATGTACAGTGATAAACCTGAACATGCCTTCATAAGAGCTAACATGAAAAAAACCTGATGATGAAGACATTAAAGGATGACATATTTGCGGATGCTGAATGCAAATCAATCACATGATTACACAAGATTAGGCAAGCCACGGGTAAGATGATATTTTCAATACTGCTGCCAGGATGGCCGCGGCTGGAACCTGATCCAAATTCCAAGCAATCATAGTTAATCGATGCCACAAATGTTCAGATTACATCCATAAGTTTCAGTTTCCTGAAAGTTACTCTGTTTGAATAAATAACAAAGAGAACATTCATTTCAACATGTTCTTTGAATTTCTAATCATCCTCAACACATACCAAATGAACCATCATCTTTTGAAAAAAATTCTGTTAAATGTTCTGACTGTATATATATAATATGTCAACTTTGTTAACATTCAGGTAGGCTTACATTTGATTCCATAAACATAATTTTCTTTTCGAAAAATATACATCTACCAAAAAATGAGTATATAACATCCAAAGGGAGGCCCAAACAGTTCTTCAATTAAGGTTTGAAGCAATCCAGATTTGTCTTACTGTTCAAGGCTGTTTTAGACTCCTAATGTCTAGGTTCTGGGAGACAGACTACAATTCATCAGACCTGTGACTTGCCACACAAGCACCTGTCATCAGCAGAAAACACAGAGGACTTATTCCACAAACAAAAATAAGTACATGTACGTACAACCTACAGCTTTAGCCACTAGTCCAAAGTTGGATTCTCGTAAAATTCTGTTTGGTCCGGTAAATTCAGTTAATAGTCATCCGGATATATATTACACTTAAATCAACGAAAATTATGTAAGAGCCTTGTTTAGTCAAATAACTTTTTGCCGTACACAGTATATGATACTTAACACTTAATTCATTTTTATCCATAATATACCTTGTCATACAAATATACAGGCATCCTAAAGGGTGCTTATTGACAGTTATTGGCATTACACAACCCACATACGATTAGATTAACTGACCACAGATAACATCAAGACGATCCACAGCATGAAGAAATCAAGTTTATAGCTGATACAACACACTGGTATGTTTGTCATGTTAACGCTCTGCCCTAATTAGCCAGCACCCCAAGGCAATGGTACACATTGATCAGTGAATGTAGGCTACACCTGGAACAAGCCGCATGTGATGTGACGATGTGTGTGTGAGTGAGTGACAGGTGTCATTCATCACTGTCATGCTCATGGAGATGTCACGCTGGTATGTTAATCATGTCACATTCACGTGTAACATGTTGAAAGTGATAATATAAAACATTTACTGTGAGGCTTCAGATCAAAATTACAACTTGCTTTGATATTGTCCTAGTTTTGAATGCTAGTATATATTACATATAGTACATATTCCTATCTACAGCATGGTTTTCATAATGCTTTGAAGTATTTATATCATTAATTTTGTATAGTTTACAACTGACACATTCACAGAAGACCAGTTTTCTGGAGTGCTGTTAGCTATTATAACAATATGATAAAGCTCCTAGTTATGTTTGGACTGACCGTAGGTACATGATGTCTGCAGAGATGGTTGATGTGTGTATCTGTCTGCAGACATGGTTGATGTTGTGTGCATCTGTCTGCAGAAATGGTTGATGTTGTGTGTATCTGTCTGCAGAAATGGTTGATGTTGTGTGTATCTGTCTGCAGAAATGGTTGATGAAGTGTGTATCTGTCTGCAGACATGGTTGATGTTGTGTGTATCTATGTCTACAGAAATGGTTGATGTTGTGAGTATCTATGTCTGCAGGCATGGTTGATGTTGTGTGTATCTATGTCTGCAGGCATGGTTGATGTGTGTGAATTCAGAACTTCTGGTACCACTGACCAACATTCTATAGTTAACGTTAACCCCTTTCACCATGTTCACACACTCACCACATATGTCTAGGGGCTATGATTGGGCCAAGAAATGTCAGACCACAGTTGAATGTAGGTCAGTGAGAGCAGAGTTAACCCTATGTCTTGTTTTCCAGATATAGGCTAAATAATAAAATCAAGTAAGAAATTTTCACCTACTGTAACCTGTCTTCAGAGAATCATGAGAATTAGAACATTGAGCAGACAAGTTTGAGTTTTGACACTAAGTCTCCCTGCAAGCATGGTGAGTACAGACTCATTGAGTTAAATATTGATGCTCAAACCCAGATCAGAAGATCATGGAAGCAAGGGGTGCAACTCTGCACAGAGTTGCAAAAAGGGTACAAAACAGGTACAAAAAAGGTCATCTCATCAGAATATGACTAGATTGGAGTACAGCTGGTGATTTGGTGCCTCTCTCTGAGAGTATGGATTCAAATCCCATATGGGACTCAACCCCCCACCAAACACTACAATCTGTACTTGGAAAGTATCATCATTTTTGTAACATTTGCTACAAGAATAAAGAAGTTATTTGACAAGCACACAGACATTTATAAGGAATGAGAACATTGTGAAGACACATGGTGGGTACAACTATTCCAAAATGGGATGTAAAGCAACTGGACTTGGCTTTTTGTGTCTATCCCTGTCCACTTATTTATTCAACCAGGAGCAGATAAACTAATGTCTGATATTTACCACCAGATTATAATGGGGACACTCAGCTATGCCTGAATCTTAGTGCGCCTAAGAATCAATTGAAAAAGGAGTCAAACTCAAGTCTAGAATTAGACTAGATAGCCTCAGTCCTGAAATTAAGATTTGTTCTGCGCTCCTTTTGGAGTCATTCTGTCTGTCTGGACTAAATGTCAGTCTAGTAGATCCACAACCGTGATAACTGTGGCACAGAAACAGTAAAGACCCACAACATGGGATAAAGGATATGATGACGTGTGTCAACCAAGTCAGCGAGCATGACCACCCGATCCCTTAAGCCACTTCTTACGACAAGCATGGGTTACTGAGGAAAAGTTCTAACCCGGATCTTCACTGGTACCATGTCTTTGAACACAGCCAACAGCCCAAATTAAGAGGACTGACTGACTGACTGAGTTTGGTTTTATGCCGCTCATAGCAATATTCCAGCAATATCACGGCGGGGGACACCAGAAATGGGCTTCACTGATTGTACCCATGTGGGGATTCGAACCCGGGTCTTCAGCGTGACGAGCCAACGCTTTAACCACTAGACTACCCCACCCCGCCCCTCCAACTTAAGAGGAAATATCATAGTCGGTTGCACTGAAAATTACAGGAGGGACAATAAAGAATTCTTTTTATGAATGGATCTGTAGAACAGTCAATGCAGTAGTTTGTTAGAACGCCAGTAGATACATTTCATATGATCCTCCCCAGGATGGAACTAGCTAAGGGAACATGCACATTTTAGTTTATAGACTAACATATAGTCAATGTTGTACATGACATCATGGTCAGGGGTGATAATTCAGTAATCAGTTAGGCTTACCACTAGGAAAAGCTATGACTGTAACTGTTTAAAATTTCATTTTCATTTCTGTGCGTATCTGTGGAACTACAGGAATAAAGGCTACCATAATCCAAAGGGAATGTTTATGCTAGTGTTTATGCACATTTAACACCTTTTGAACAAGTTTATAAACATATATAATCAGTGTTGTACTTCATCACACAGTACATTTCTCTTATCTGATTTCCTTGATAAGGATGATTTGACTGGACTCGTTTTTCCAGTTTTCCAGATTAGTTTGGTTTCACAAAAACATATACCATTGCTGTCAATGGAATAAAGAGGATCTCACATAACGTACATACTGCACAGTTATCATGATAAATTATGTTGGAGGAATATTATTGCTTGAGACAACAGGCTAATACACTAGGATAGTTTGTGCTGTCATAAATAGTTAAATATGAGGGTGGAATTTTATACATGCATAGATGTTTACCATTTTGGTTAAAACTTTGAGTTCTCACAGAGCAAGTGTCATAATTAATTCCGTTATGGGATTCAACAAATCCTAGGAAGTAATCTTGAGATGTGCTTCTGTCACAAACACTTTAGTTTTAAGGAAATCACTTCTCATTTGCAAAATACATCTTCACTGCAAGACAAACAAGAAAGTTACATGTCTGTAGCAAACGTTAGAAGAGTGTTGGAGTTGCATTAATGACCTTGACCTTCAATTTTAGATAATCACATTTCTAATTATTTTCAGAAGGGCATTATCGCTTATGAACAATGATTGGTTGAGTACACAAGTAAGCAAAACTATGTTCAAAGATCATTCAAATGACTAAACCCTTGCCACTTCATTGCCCCCACTGTAAGGTCATGTAAGGGTAGAGTAAACATCATGATTTCACAATTTCACATATGGTAAGTTACAATACATTCTGAGTATATGACCTTGAGACAAGAACGATCCAAACAGCCATCCAGCATCTACCACACGTTGGTTTCCAGGTGGAATTCAATGTAACAAAATATCCATATATGCTTCTCACTTAATGTAGGTCACTGTGACCTTTCAATATAAAATGACCTTGTCATAAAAATGATATAACAAGACTTTAAAGATACCTTCAGGAAAAGTGAGTGAGTGAGTATGGTTTAACACAGCTTTTATTCCAGCAATATCACTGCAGGGGCACACCAGAAATGGGCTTCACACAT